TCTCCTCTCCTCTCCTCTCCTCTCCTCTCCCCTCCCCTCCCCTCCCCTCCCCTCCCCTCCCTTCCCCTCTCCAACCAGGTTTCAATAATATACGCATTATTGAATATAGTCAATAATGGATAGGGAAGTTTGTCCTCCCAGCTGCTTCAAAGGTACTTGAGAGTTCATTGCATGTTTGAGCGTGCATATTTCAGTATGTTATTTCTAAGGACATATATAGCTTTTGAAATATTTGGTTTCTTGGAATTTTCTTTTTAGGTGATCCAGGACTGCGTGGCCAGCCTGGGCTAGTTGGACCTCCAGGGATTCCAGGAACTGGTGGTCAGGGACCACCTGGCCCACCAGGTCCTCCAGGGCCAGCGGGACCACCAGGTAAGTGTCCAAGTAACCAATTAGTGGCAGAATTCCAGATCAGAACTGTCAGCATGAGTTCCTGGAAGGGAATTCTTTATCTGGAACAGTCTTCCCCAAGCTGGCACTCTCCAACTATATTGGGAACTACAGCTTCCAGAATTCCAAGCCAACATCTAGATAGGAATACTGGGAGTTACAGTCCCAACACATCTGGAAAAAGATGGATTGGGAAAGTCTGGGTTAAAGTGAAATGATGTAATATTTTAGGGTCCTGTTTTTGAACTGCTTATCATAAAATTCAGTTGAGCTGAATAAATTGGAGTGTAACCTTAAAATAATCTTTAAATCGTTGATGAATAGCTTATCCTCCTTAGTTATATAATATGAAATCATTGTTCAAATGACCAATACCCCAGTGAGACAAAAAACAGTTCTTCATTATATCTGTGGAGGTCTACAAGAAATCATTAGATTGGATTTTGGTCATTTGCATTCTAACTTTGAAACAGACTTAATACAATGACACTTTTGATATTTTATGAGCCAGCCAACCAGCTAATGAATGGTTGTAACATTTTCTGGATCTACATGAAGACCAACTCTCCAGCAGCTGGCTGGTCAGAATGGCTTTTGGCTGTGCCATTTCAAAGGAGGGGTCCCCAGGCTCTCACGCACCAACCTCCTTGCCTTCCTACTGACACTTTATCAGTCTGCACAGGGTTTATGTTAAGGCTTTACCCTGGAACTTAATCTTCACCAGTGGTTTGAAGTGACACAATCCAGGCCAAAATTGAACATTTCAGTGAGTTCTTAATTACATTCAGTGAATTGAGGTTCTATCAATCTTTTCTGCCTAGTGTACTCTAGGAAACCTTTATTCCAGATCTACCACCCATTTTGTAGATTTTTTATTGAGCCTAATAAAATCATGATTGCCTATATCTAGCTATTGTTATCTGTGAATTTAATTTTGCTTCACTTGATCAGTAAGTTAGATGAAACAACATTAAAATCTCTAATAATTACATGACAGGAGATTTACTGGGCTCTAAGAATAGGTTGCATTTCAGAGGGTCTTAATTTGAGAAATATTGCCCCAGTGAAGTGTATTTTGGGGTATCTAAAGATCTCCTGTCTTTATACATGCCAGAGTCAGCAACCCAGATCAACCAGGGTCAAGGACATCTATAACAACCCCTGTTTGGCACCTACAGATTCTCCAATTTGTTTTTTAGGTTTTTTAAAATGAAATCTGCCCCAGATCTCATGAGATTTCTGGCATGATTGCAGTCCCCAAATCTTGGGGTGGGAATGCCAAAATCGCTTGAGATTTTATTTGTTTTTATTTCTGTTTTTGACTGCCTGCTTCATGATGTCTGAAGGTGCTCAATGCCTGAGAAGATTGCTGATCCCTGACAACATCCAGAATGTAATGGTTTTTCACTTTTCCAAGCTATCCTGGTCAATATTGTAATTGCAGTTCTTCATGTACTTCCTGTAGGGAAATGTTAGTTAATGTTCATGTGAAAACCCAGGCAGAAGCCTACAGAAACTGAATTGGGGGTGGGTTGATGGGAGACAGGTATCAAACCCTCAGTCTTTCCAACCTGAGTCCAGATGTGTTGGGATTACAGCATTTATAATCTGGCCAATAATTCTGTGTAATACATTTCCCAAACATCTGGAGGCTGCCATGCTGGGAAAAGTCATGAATCCCAAACCCTTAGCACAATAGTAGCATTTTCAGGCAAACTGCAGCAGCACATCTTCACTTTTAATTTCAGACTGCTTTTAAGAGGGTGTTTTGGTTCTTCTTGTACACCATGCATGATTTCTAAAGTACAGATTCATTGTAGACCACCATTCTGCAAAATGTGAGCTGCCCATTTCTGTTTCTTTCAAGAAAATCTGTGGCTCGAGATTTGGATTGACTGCATGATCACAACCACCTTGCAAAGTGCACCCAAAATTGTGCATCTCTTTCATTTGCTATTATACCTTATTGTTCTTATTTAAAAAAAAACAAAACAAGAAAATGTATTTCATTTCTGGTTGTGGAGAGAAGAGAATTTAAAAAGCACTGTTAATGTCTGCAAAAATATTTGCCATGCCAATGGATCATTGATAAGGTCAATACATCTTGCCTTCATCAAATGTTCATTGAGTCAGACCTGGTAACATAGCATCTGTAGCACTTCATAAACAAAAACTGAAGCCTTCCAAGGCCACCCATCTCACAATGTTTGGGTGATTCTTGCACAAGATCCTGGCAATATTTTAGGTGAAAACCCTATGAGATCTTCAGGATGATATTGTAGATACCTGGAGATATTTTTGACCTTTCAGTCATTTGGCACTTTTCATTGCATGAGATTGCATGATGGCACCTGAAAAGATGGTCAGCCCCCTCTTGTATGGTTGGCAGTTTTAGTATTTGGAAAAGGTAATGTTTCTTTCAACTGAACTTGAATCCTCGGTCAGTTCATGGATACGGACATGTAGCTCTCTTGGCAACAATAGAAAGTATTTTGCCAGAATGTTGTTTCTGGCCTCCTATTGTAGTCTGTAGCTCTAGATTTCCTGTGGACTCCATCCAAATACTTACCAGGTTTGACCCTGTTTAGCTTTTTGAGATGATTAAAGGTCATCCTGGTGCTGTTATTGAGCTGGTCTGATATTGGAGAAGCAATGCATTTAATGTCTAAGGTCTAGCCCAAACCACTTTGGGAACCAGATGCAGTTCCCCAACAGCCCAGCCAGTCAGCTGCTCAGAGGTTGGCTTGCTGTTAATATCATCCATTTCTCTATTACTGTTCATGTCTTTGGAGAGAGACCTTCATCATGGAGAAAGAAGTAAGATATAATGGGATGTAATGGCACAATGCATAGAGTGAGTTCTTCTTCAAGAAGAAACAGGGATGTTCTCCATATGTAACACGGCAGAGGGACCATCCTTTCTCCAAGGGTATAGGCATGGGGCAATCAAAATGGAATGTTCAGCAGAGTCCAGGCCAGTGACCATCAGAGAAGGCGTATGGGAGCTGAAAGGCACACAGCAGCCAGTAGATGGAAGGAATCTAATCTGGAGGGAAATGAAGGAGGGGATAGGCAGCAGAAGTTGAGATGATTTGTGGAAGCCACAGAGCGGGAAATGAGAGCAGCCATATGGGTAAAACCACACCTTTTCCTTTTAGAAAAATGTGAATCCATAAAGATCCAATTCGCTTTACTATTCCATTACTAGGCAGAATTTCTCCCTAGCATTTCTGCTGTAGGTATTTATATATTTCTTGGTTACATCTCCCTAAAAAATATGTAGCGTTAAGGTAGCACCTTCACGTATCTTTTTTCTCTCCTTTAAGTAAAACAATTGCCCATTGACCCTAAGATCCCAATGTAGATCAGAGTTTGCTCTCATTTTTTGACACGTTCTTATTCTGATGGTAGTTTTTTTAAGCACATATTTCTTGGATCTAAGTCCCCTTTAAAAAAATAAAAAGTAACCAATGCTGTTTGTAGGCTACTTCTGATAGCATACTTTTGGATACTTTTTGTCTTTTCGATGCAAGTATCCTGCACAATAGTAGCATTTTCAGGC